GCTTTCTTTCTTTTTTTCTCTTATTCGCTTATTTGTGAGATTGATGTAAAAAAAAAAAAATAGAAAATATTTAGAAATTTTAAATGATATTTTGATTTACAGACAAAAAGTTAAATAAAAGTTTGCACGTTTCTTTACGCATCAAAAATTTGTTGTTTAACTATAAATTTAAAAACTATTTCCTTATAAGGATTAATGTCTTAAGCCTTAAAATTACAAGAACGTGAGTCAACCGGTTGCCAGAAGCAATCCTTGATGATGTCAAGGTTGTACAGGGTAGCTGAAATTCTAGAAAAAAAGGCAAGAAAAGAAAAACGGAAAATTATTATGATTCTTAAGAAAAAAGAAAACTATTTTCTTGTTTTTCAAAATAACTCTAAAGTAGCACAAGTCGTGACATTTAGATAATTATGTAAATCTTATAATCTTGAAATGCAAGCACCTTTTGTTACATAATAAGCAGGAAAAGGTCTTTCCTTTTCTATCAGGATTTATGCGGGGCAATGGCCTAAACTAGTGCATCCAGCTGCAACCGTTCTGCCCACGCGCTGCAGGCGCACGTGCATGTAAAAAATATAAAAGTAGACAATATATACATAGGTCACGCTGTGACGCGTACGTGAATGCGCATTTATGACTGACTTAAAGAAATCAGAAGATGATACCAACGCGTGTTCTGTAAAGTAAACCCGTAGCGTTTAATATCTCTAATATTTCCAGTTTTTATCACGCGAAACACGTTATACAAACTGTGCTACATATATATTAATTCCGCTCTGAAATAGCAAAATTTAAATAACAATTAATTGAGCTATAATTAATGATAAACACGATATATAATACTCGATAGAACTCGTTCGTGGATAGAGATGTGGACGCGATGTTATCCTATACGGGCCTTCTTGATTTGATAATGTTCAAGCTCGTTACGCTTATTGCCACTTCGTGGCATTACATTTCGCAAAGTTCCGCGGCGAATTGGTACCGTGGGAAATTATCATTTTATTAAGACCCAACATATAGATCTGACAGCGGTTTATTTATCTCGTATATCCTATCGTTTCTGTCCATCCCAGTGGAAATACCATATGCGAAATTTGTAAGCTCTTTGCATTGTCTGGCAAGCTTTGTTTGCTTTCCAATAAATGTACCATAAAGTAATGCATGGAAATTGCGATTTACTGAAATGATCTTTTGGTCTCTCTCATTTATACATATTTATTAATTTAATAAAATATTTTTAATATAAAGATATAACAGAAAAGAAAAAATAGAAAGGATATCTAAGTCACGTAAGATAATTCTAAAATTGATCTAGTTAGTTAAAATTTTTGTAAAAAATTTACTCGCTTGTCTTATAGGTCACAGAAAAATGTACAAATTCTTATTTAACTATTCCATTCAATCTGTAATGATTTTAATAATATCAGAGATAGTTTAAAAGATATTTTTATCGTGTTACAAGAGACAAACTCTACACATTCATGCACATTCGAAAATTCCATCGCGGAATTAGCTCGACGCGCGATATTGCGAATTTTCCGGAGAAAAATATCTTGCTGACCACAAATTTGTAAATGGATCACGCGTTAGAATAAGCCCCCCTGTGCCTAATTACGAATTAAGTTTCGACATACGTGCGGGTGTCGCCATTAATTTCGCCGCGATTTGGTAATCTGCGCGCGCAAGGGAGAAATGTAGAGTACCCGCCGCGATTAATTCACCTCTTTCGTTATCTGGCGACCTGTGTCAAAGCACAAGGGCGCACTTAAGGCAGGTACTCCGGTTTTTTTCTCTTTATCCTATCTCTGTTCTTTTACATTTTGAAAGAACAGAGATAGGATAAAGTGGAAAAAATTCTCCTTCCCTTCTCGTTCACCAATTTCTTTCAAGTTGGCTATTTTTGATGTTATGCACCACACAATCTTTTACTTCTAAATCGCTATAACTATAAATTATTCAGCTTTTTTTATTTGATTTATCCATTAATTTTACCTAGTTTTATTAAACCGCTTTAAATAACTTATTTAAATTCATTAAATACATATTATATTGTTATGTAATTATGATATAATACTATTTATTTTTCTGGAAGTTTTTAATTTTATATAAAAATTTATAAATTTATCAAATTTATCAATTATGGACGCAATTTATGCAAGTAATTGCAACTAAAATATTCATCTTATTTATATGCCACACATAATTTAAATGCAAGAGAATGCAAGTTTCTGATAAAAATAGTTCAGTTCTTGAAACCTAAATACGTGAGAGACTCTGAGTTTTAAGGATTCATAGGGATTCAAAGAACACGAGAAATTCCATTTATAGATTCAAGGAGAACTGCAAATCCGCAGAGTTAGAAAAAAAGAAAAATTAATATCTGAGAAAAAGGATACAGAGAGAGAAAGAGAGAAGAGAGGTCAACATAAGTTGATATAAGTCGAAGAAACATTAGTCGAAAGAGTTACGATGAACGGAGTGTAGGCGTGCGGTGCCGTGAGAAGAATAAGACGAAAAAGAACCTGTTTTCTTCGAAGGAGAGCGTTCAGCTCCCAAAGGTACCTGAGCAGTTTAATTCCCGCGTAGTAGGACCTGTCCGCTATATTACAGGGTGCTTGAAAAGTAAGATTTTTGCTCTTCTTGTACTGCCGTTTATTATCGTTTATTGTGATTTACAAGGCATATTTTACTCATTGTATATCGGTTAAATTTATTAGGATTATTTTAGAGAATAATCAACGACGCACAATAAAAAATATGGATGTTAGCTTCTATTTCTATATCATTCATTATCGCATTTGATTTTTCGTTATTGTCATAAATTATTTTCTTATGAAAAATAAAAAATAAAAAAACAATTTATTTTATCTCATGCTATTAAAATATCTATTTTTTCACATTATCAATATACATATAAATAATATTTTGAATTTATCTTTGTTTATTATAATCAATTATAGTGCATGTATAGTCATTGCGGCGTTAATGTAGTTCCCTTTGAATCAATGCGTTTGCCTGGGTTCAACATTGGCGAGCATTATCATAATCCACAAAGACGCGGAATGTTCGAAATAATCCAGCATTGAATCGGCTCTCCGGCGAGAACTGGGCGTAAATAAAGCACCGCACGCGTTAAACAACTTACTTCGCAATTTCAGAACCGGTTATGTAACTAATCCCGTCACCGGAAGTTAGTTGTATCGAGCAACGAGACCAGTTTCCCGATGCGAATCAAGCACCGGGTATCGTGTGTCGTCCGGTCGAATGAAGTTTAGCGTGTCTCTCCGAAAAGAAAAAAAAAACGAAGGGAAACACGTCCTGGAAGAACGCGACATTCCGGAGAAACACTTTCGATCGCACTTAGAATTGACCGAATGGAGGAGATGCTGATGAGATGCAAACGCGATTTCAGATCGCTGATATAATCTCAGCTAGTTAATTGACTCACTGATCTGTATTAAGTGTTTGTACATATAAGTAGTTTATCTGTGCAAAGAAGAGAATAAATATGCTGTGTAATATTTGTGCGACACGATGGGAGACGTTCGAGCAATTTTTTAGCACTATTAATTATCCGGAATAATCTCAAAGCGTCGACATTGTAGTTAATTTGAGAATTTAAATTCACTGCAGATAAAAAACAGAATTTAATAAAACTGTTTCAGAGAATCAACTTTGCTTTTCATAAATTTAAACTGGTTACAATTTCTTCGGAGAAAGAAAAAGAGATTCTTGAACGGCACATAAATTTATATTATAAATAAAAATAAATGATATGAACTATCAGATTGAATCATTTTAGATAATAATATATACAAATAGTATATTATAATAATAAATTAGTAGCAAGAGTGGAGTTAATAATGAAAATTATTGCGATTGCTATGAAAGCGTGTTAGTACAGATAATATTATAATCTATTTTGTTTATGCATAGTGCATTAATACATTTATGTAAAATACATTGCTAAATCCACATATTAATAAATAAATGCTAGATTTGTAGGTTACATTGTAAGTTCCGTTACAGATTGAAGGATTGCTAAAGAAAGGATTAATTTATAATACTATAATTAATTTGATTACTTTATAAGACAGATGATTTAAAATTATATTAACGACACTTTCTTTCTTTGATTTGCAATATTTTTTCCTCTAAAAAGAAGCAGAAATTAATTTAAGTTATATAAAGTGTCTAATAAAACTTAGTATCTTGAGAATAATTGAGTATAATGTTCAAAATTTCCTGTAAAATTCCTCAAAAAAGAAATACAGCTTCCAGACTTTATTTAATTTTATTTTAATTATTTTTAAATATTGTTTCTAAAAATTGCGCACGTGTATGTGTATGTTCGAGTTGCACTCGTTAAAATTTCCTTCGAAAAAGTCAACATCAAATCCCCTGACGCGGGATCTTATCAGCAATGGAGTAACGCACACTAGTCGGTCGCATGATACGCGGCTACAATCGACCACAACAGCGCTCAGCTTTCCTCAGGTGACGGAGAGAAATTCATCTCTCCATCGAGAGCGCAGCTTCCTTCATTTCGACTTATCCGCTATTGTATCTTAGATTAACGGTACCCGAAGAGAGCTGTGCGCGAGCGGCTACTCGAGAGACGCGACGGATATAAAGAGGATAATGAGAAGTGAACTCGAGAACACAGTCAAAGCAGAATCAGAAAGAATGTATCACAAGTGGAGATCGATATGCATACGTACATCCTTAACATGACTCTCGGAGAATTCTTTCCTTCCGTGATTATATTGCGACTTTAATATAATTACTTTAAAAGTCTAATCACTTTTAGAAAATGTCGAGCAAATATGGCTAATTAAAATATTATTATGAATAAAGCGAGTAAAAATATTCATGGCCTATTAAATTGTATCATTTCCAGCTCGATGCAAATTATTAAATTAAATTTTATCTCGTGCTGAAATTGTAAGATATGAGGCACCATATCTCAAAGACGTTTCCCGGTTTGGTTCTCGCAGATGCTTCCTCGTCGAACGAGGCGGTGCACCTACAGCAGCGCCTGCGGAGTCTCAGCACGGAATTGGTGACCCTGAGGAACCGGCTGCACGTAAGTCAACCGGGGAGCGCATCAGGTCCGGCGAACGGCACATCCGGGCCCCTGTCGAAGAGCCCGGAAAAGGGTGGCGCGCCCCCCTCGCCGGCACCGGCGGTACCCCCGAGGACGACCCTACCACCCGCTAGCGGCGCTCCCGTATCCCACGGGATCGCTCATCCCGCGGGTCACACGCTGACAGCCTCCGCGATTGTTCATCCGCATGTCAATCACGCCAGCACAAACGCTCTCAACCATAACTCGACCGCAACCAATAATTTAATATCTGGTTAGTGCACGGATATCTCTCTGCGTTCTCCGTACACTCTTGTGACTCCGTAACTGGATATTTTATAGACTATAATCGCGGAATATATACCGTTACACGACATCCACGGTTATCTAACGTTACATAAGGGAGGTTTTTTTGCACGGTATTCATCTCTATCCATTTTCAACTTTTATTAATGAAAACAAAATTAAAAAAGAAAAATTATTGCTGTATTTTATTATGTTTCATAAAGATAATTTCCCCCCATTTTTTTAGACAAATGCAAATTTTGTGGATGCGTAAAAAACAGAATAAATTTTTTTTTCTTTTTGACATGTTCAGATTTAGATCCCTTGAAGCGGCACAACGGAGTGCCCGACGACGGAATAGTATCGTGCGTGACGGCGCTAGGATGCCTCCGATCGCCGCCGATCTCCAGCATCATCGCCGAGGTGAAGAACGCGAGGAGCAACCAGAGCCAGCACCGATGCCTCCCGAAAGCCACCGCTCCCTCGCCCGGCCCTGCGACCACCACGGCCTTCGACGACCTCATTCATCTACCCGGACCTCTCACAGAGGATGCAGTACTCAAGTGTCTTCAAGCTCGATTCTGCGCCAAACAGTACCATGTAAGAGAGATCAATGCTAAAATAGATAAAATGCCAAAAAAAAAAAAAAAAAAAAATACGGAAACTTTAAAATTCCAACGTTAAAACGCGTATCTTTTTTGCATTAAAATATTTTTAAAAATAGTTTTGTGTGTGTGTGAAATAAAAAATGATAAATTACATTTTCATAACACATGGCGTTCTGTGAATTAAACACGGTCATTTAATGCTAAATATATTACGCAAATACATGTACTATGAATCTCGATTGCGGAAGCCACAGCTTCCTAGATCTCGCGATCTTAAACTCTAAAGATCCAAGGATTCCAGAGACCTAACGTTCACGAATCTCGCATGTGTATACACGCTCACGTACACACATAATAAGTAATGTATCCGTGCACGAACGTAACGCGGTTGTGCCGAAGCGGAATGCAAAGAGGCGGTCTCGAATCATATTCATAAGTACACGGAACGATATGCGAGTCGGTGTTGGTGTTGGTGGCCGCAATAACACAAACACACCGGGGCCGATATGCCGTCATTAAGAATTCACCCTTCGTCTCTCGGCTGGTTCGTGTGCATGCCACCCTGCCGCAGGAAACCCACGCACAGGTGGCACGCACGCTCGCATTCCGATGATGCGATCGGCCGGGCCGGTTTTACTTCTCATACATTTCCTATCGTGCCGTGTACGTAATTGACTAGGATTATTCCAGTTAACCGTGCTTTTCCTCGGCGATGAATTTGAATTGATTGCTTTCCGAGAACCTTCAATTTCGATCTTTACAGTCTTCAATTAAACAATTAATTAAGACGATTACAGATAGGAAAAAATCTTTAAAAAATGTATTAATATAAATATATTAAAAAGGATTATATATGCAAGAAGACATAAATGCACTGATTGAGCAAAATTTAGTGATAAATAAATTTCCTTTCTTCGGGAAATCTACTAATTTCAGTTTTAATTAAAGTCTATATATATGGTCAATTTCTTTCGTTGTAAATAAATTTTTGCTTTTACCACGATAACTTGTTCCATATGTCGTTCATCATGATAGGGCAACTCCTCGCGGCAAGCTTTTTATACAAAACGTTCGATTTCTTCGAGACTGTTCTTCATTTAGACGATCTGTTGAGAAACTCTTGATTTCTCCGTGATCCAGGTTCCTCGGGCGAATGAAGACCTTTTTCTTCATCGATTGTAGTCGATTGGATACCTCCTTTCGATCACAAGAAACGAGCTAATCATATACTTACGGAAACTCATTATGCAATCTATCAGACTTGAACTTCGATATTTGAATAGAATTTCAGAAAAATTGTCGTGACCGATCTTTCGTTCAATATTTCTAAATATTCAATTTATATAAATCACAAATTAATTCTCTAATTTTTTATCAACATAGATTGCAGAATAATTGTAAATGATTACGATTATTCATAAAATAATGATCAAGTGCAAATGTAAATTTAATTTAATTTAAAGACAAAATATTTCAACATTATAATATTATTCAAATTGCAATTCGAGCACACATTATTTGAAAATTTTTCTAAGCTATACTCGTTGATTTATACTTGATTCCCGTGTATTAAACGACCGTTCGCACATGGAAATTTATGATCGAGATCACGATAGTTTTCTTCGCCGCTGATGACGCTCTCACCCATTATCGACGAGCACGCACAGGTGCGTGACCTGTTTACAGCTCGCATACGCAGATTCCGATCGCCTTCTTTTCGCCACCCATCCTACAAACTTTGTCAAGGAACTGAATTCATCCTCCCTTCTCCGTTTCCACTAATTTTCACAAACTTGAAGCCGCTTTTATGCTCCTTTTATTCGTTTATTTTATTTTTTAAATTCCAAGAACATTAAATATAATTTAAGCTACAAAGATTAAGAAATTAATTATAATCTCTAGTAATGGTTCAAGAAAAAAACGTTTAAATTTCTCCTACAATATTATATAAAAATTATAAACTATAAGAATATTTTTCTTGTTTGGGATCTTGTTAAGAATTATTTTCGAATAAATTATTATTGATACGAGCAAAATAATTCAACATTCCAAGCAAAAATTTTTCAAAAGACAAAAACTCTTGCCAAATTAAAATTGAATATATTATATATATATATATATATACAACACATTAAAAATAATTTAACAATATTGTGTCAAAGAAATATAATTTTTATCAGAAAGCAGTCTTATTAAAAAATATATATATACATATTGTTCTAGACAAATGTGGGTCCCATATTGGTTTGTGTGAATCCGTATACAGACGTGGGAAATCCGTTAACTTTAACGAGCACCAGGACAGTACCATTAGCACCTCAACTGAACAAGGTTGTCCAGGAAGCCGTGAGGCAGCAATCGGAGACCGGATATCCTCAGGCGATTATCCTTTCCGGTAAGTCTCCTAACGGATTCATTCCCTTTCTTTTCGCCCTTTCAAGAATAAGATCTCCAGAATTTCCTCTTACAGGAACAAGCGGTTCCGGAAAAACGTACGCTTCAATGCTGTTACTTAGGCAACTCTTCGACGTCGCCGGCGGCGGACCGGAAACGGACGCTTTCAAACATCTAGCGGCAGCCTTCACGGTCCTCAGATCCTTGGGCTCAGCGAAAACCGCCACAAACTCGGAGAGCTCGAGGATAGTAAGTGCTTCGCTTCAAAATGCATAAGATAGAAGAAGATAGCGGGAAAAGGAAGGAAGAAGGAGAAGGGTAGCTTGTGAAAAGAGAGATTATATAAAATCGGTAACAATATATTAAAATTAGAAATAATATGAATAATAACGAGCAACAATATACGATAGTATACGAAAAGTAGTGATATTATATAATAATAATAAAAACAATGCAATATTTTATATTAATTAATAAAAATGATTCTTTTACTGTATATTCAGGGTCATTTCATCGAGGTTCAGGTAACGGATGGTGCTTTGTACAGGACAAAAATTCATTGTTACTTCTTAGACCAGACGAGAGTAATCAGACCATTGCCAGATGAGAAAAACTACCATATATTTTATCAGATGTTGGCCGGATTGTCCCACGACGAGCGAGGTAATAACATATAATTATAACAAATATAGTACTCTCTAATAATGTAATATATGTAATACTCTATTAAATTAATTTATTACGACACACAACAGGAAATAATTACCTTGATAACTTTTGTAGTTAAATTAAATCTGGAGGGATATAATCTCAAAAACTTGAGATACCTCCAGCACGGTGACACGCGGCAGGATGAAGCCGAGGATGCCGTCCGATTTCAAGCGTGGAAAGCCTGTTTAGGTACGTGTCAGTTATACGAAAGAAATCGCGTAAAATTCGACTTTGATTAAATTTAATAAAATATCTTTTTCCGAGGCAATTAAATGAATCAATAATTTATTTATTTCTAGTATTTAATTAAATTGTTTTTTGGAAAAACTCACTGGATTAATTTTTATTAAAACTGATTTAATGATTCTTCATATTTTGTTCAGGCGTTTTAGGCATTCCGTTTTTGGATGTCGTGAGAGTTTTAGCAGCGGTGCTCATACTCGGAAACGTCGGTTTCACAGACGGTCCTAGTGTGGAGGTAGGCGTGATTGGCGAGAACGAGTTGTCCTCTGTGGCAGCACTCTTGGGAGTTCCTCCGCCAGCTTTGTTGCGAGGACTCACCTCGAGGACTCACAACGCGCGCGGTCAGCTCGTTAAATCCGTCTGTGACGCTAACATGGTACCGTTATAGAACTTTGCTGATGAGATGAGACAGTGATGAGCAACTTCATCCCATCTTATTACGCGTTGAGATCAAATGATTCTCTTTTGATCCTTTAGGATCTCTAAAATATCGCAAACTTTATCCTACATGATGCTAAATATTTGAATTTCTTATATATTCGCGAGTAAATAATTTTTCCGCGTAGATTATTGATTCTTTCCTCTTCAGATTAAATTTTACATCTTTACATCATTCAACCATTGTATTTTAATTTTTAAAAAATTTGGATCACTAAATTCGTCAAATTTTTATATGTTAACTTTTTCATAAATCCTTTATCCTGTAATCTTTTTAGTCATAAAATAAAACGACGAGATTGTCACATTCTTGGATTCTTATTTTTTTACAATTTTATTTCAGGATATTTAATTTTTCCAATTTAATATTTTATTTGTAAAAAGTTTGAGAATGGCTTAGAGTTGAATTTTAATTTCTATTTTCTGTATTATTTAGCGAGAGATGATCAAAACATAAATGAGTTACAAGTTTCCTCCGAGTCGCAAATATGCTTTGAATTGCAAATCACAATAAGGCCAAGTGGGTTATTAAAAAGTTGCTCGGCACTGCGATTAAGTGTTATCATGTAACATCGAAAACATGTTGAACGCACGATGTTTGTTTACACAGTCTAACATGACCAGGGATTCGCTAGCAAAGGCGCTTTATTGCCGCACTGTAGCTACAATTGTGAGACGAGCCAACAGTTTGAAGAGACTCGGCTCAACTCTCGGCACCCTCTCATCCGATTCCAACGAATCCGTTCATAATCAAGCGGAGGTCACTAGCCAACATGCCTCTACAGTCGGCAGTTCAGCAGTTCTTCATCAAAATAATTATTAAAAAATATTTCCGTATTACCTCGATTGTGTAATTCGATAGTTTGCAAATAATAGTTTGTTACATAATTTGATAATTATTGGTAAAAATTGGTTTTCTAATAAAAAAATTTCTTTAAAAAAATGTACATTTTTTTTTATACTCATATATCGCTTCCAAGAGTTATGGCATAAATTTCCTACTTTTTAATGTGACGAATAAGGTAAAGGATGAGAATTTTCCAGGAGGAACAGGATCGAGAAGCATGACCGCCCTGAATAACGCCGTGCGACATGCCACGGACGGTTTCATCGGTATCCTGGACATGTTCGGGTTCGAGGATCCTAAGCCGAGCCAGCTGGAGCATCTCTGCATCAATCTCTGCGCGGAGACGATGCAGCACTTCTACAACACTCACATATTTAAAAGCTCCATCGAGAGCTGTCGCGACGAAGGTATCCGATGTGACGTCGAAGTTGACTACGTTGACAATGTGCCATGTATTGATCTCATTTCCTCTCTGGTAAGTTTCTTCTCTCTCTCTGTATCGAATACGAAAATCATTGCTCATATAATACTTTCTCATTCTCGATAAAATAAATCGAAAACGTTGTTTTTTTCTTTAATGTAATTTTTCGATATTATACTTACATGAGAGAAAGTTGTGTTGATAAAATAAAGATTTTAAATTTTCTAAACTCTCGGAATATATTAGTAACTTGAAATAAGATTCTTCTTTTAATTTTACTCCTAAATTCTTCCATTATTTATTAAAGATGCGACTTTTTTAGATGTTAATACATGTGTTTATTTTGATTTTACAGCGTACCGGATTGCTAAGCATGTTGGATGTAGAAGGTTCAATACACGGGACCGCAGAAAGTTACGTTGCCAAAGCAAAGGTGCAGCACAAGCAAAATCCTCGGTTATTCGAACCGAGGACCGTTGACGGTAGATCCTTCGGTATTCAGCATTTTGCAGGAAGAGTCATTTACGATGCTTCGGACTTTCTCGGTACGTAAGATTTCTCTCATTATATTTCATGATGATAAAAAAGGAATATCTATTACTTAATTAATACTTAATAATATTATTATATATAAAAATTAAATCGCGAGTAAATACAAAATCTTGCAATTATTAAATTCAAACATTTCATCTTTGAAGATACAAATAAGGATGTTGTCCCTGATGATTTGGTGGCGGTGTTCTACAAACACACTTGCAGTTTCGGCTTTGCCACGCATCTCTTTGGTAGCGAGCTGAAAGCATTATACGCAAGCGACACTGTACCGAGGGGCGTCAGTTTCCGTATATCACCAACTTCTCACACCGATCTGTAAGTAATTAACTACGTAACATCAATTAACGTGTTCCATAATATTCTCGATAAATATTATTGTTTGCTAAGAAAATTATTTTACTCATTATTGAATCATTCTTTTTCCTCTGCAGAAATTATCTGCGTTGTATTTGCTGAAATATTTTTATCGCAATAATTAATTAGGAATGCGTACACAATTAGTTGTGACATTGTAACAATTATTGATTTCCCCGATGATGAGTTGTCCGTGAAACTTAATTAAAACGAAGCGCGCGAGAAGAAAGTAAAAGCTTCTCTTTGCAGTTTGAACGGAGACGAGCCAATATCGACGTTGACGCAGGACTTTCATACGAGATTAGATAATCTCCTGAGGACTCTGGTTCACGCTAGACCGCACTTCGTCAGATGCATTCGAAGCAATAGCACCGAGACTCCGATGCACCTCGACAGGGGAGTCACGATGCGTCAGATACGCTCGTTACAGGTACTGGAAACGGTGAACCTTATGGCAGGAGGTAAGATGTCAGAATGTAATTTTAACTTAATTATATAAAGGATCTAAATTTTTATAAAAATATATTTCTCAATAATTTTAAATCGCTTCAAGTTATTAGAAAAAAATTATACATATATATGATAATCGTAAAGATACGCGTACAAAATACAGCGTCATTTAATTACGATAATCCTGAAGAGAGATAATATTTATATAATTTTTATTTATTAACTCGCGTGCAGGATATCCGCACAGAATGCGATTTAAAGCCTTCAACGCGAGATATAGGCTGATCGCGCCCTTCAAGCAACTACGTCGTGCCGAGGAGCAGGCTGTCGAAGACACGAAATTGATTTTGCAAAACGCGCAGCAGCTGAAGAGTAAATTCGGTGCCAGCACTAGCTGGGCTCTTGGCAAGAGGCATATTTTTCTCAGCGAAGGTATCAGACAACAGCTCGAAAACCTGCGGGCGGAAACGCGGAAGAAAGCTGCGACAGTAATACAGGTAGATATATTTCTTTTTTAATAATCTCTTTCCTTTCTTCTTTCCTTTTTCCTTTCTATTTTTTTTTTTTTTTTTTTTTTTTTTGCGTGATATGAACCATTCTTATTTTATACGAAAGAGAAATTTTATTCTATTTGAAAAATAGTTGAAATCATTGCAGTGTTTTTGTATTTAAAAGAAGGAAAAATATGAAACAAACAATTTCTAGTTTGTTTTTATGTCATTTTCAGTCTACATGGAGGGGATGGCGAGTACGAAAGAGATGGCCTTTAAGAAGGACAACTCTAGGCGTAACATCCGGAATCGGCCAGAAAAAGCCGCAGCAACCACCCACGGGAACTAATACCGGAACCGTTCAGAGGAACGTCACTGCTGGAGCAGGAACTGGAACTGGCACTCGTCCAAGACCGCAGCCAATCGCTGGTACACCTCCACCCGATCCTTCGGAGAAATGCGCTGATCAGAAGATGATCCAACAGACTTGTACACTTTTCGGACTAGATCTGGTGAGCTTCTGAGTATACTACCCCCTCATACGATTCAAAAAGATAATAAAATAAAATATAAGAAAAGTAATCGATATAAAATTAAGTTTACATTTATATAAAAAATATATATATAGATCTTCGTTTTTTTTTATCTTATATTTTTCGATCTAATAATCTTATAAAAAATATTAAAATGTTATAATATGTTTTGTATTTAATACTTTAATATTTTTTGTAGAATAGCAAATTTTATCTCAAAACGCTGCAAAGAAAATCTTATTAATTAAATCCCTTTTATGTGTTTTCATACAGGAGCGACCGCCACCTGTTCCGCCTAGTAGGTCCTACACTGTGACCGGGAACACAAAACTTGGTTATCCGCAAACCAGGATTATGAAAATGCCTTTCCCAGGTAAAAAATATCGTTTAAAATAATATATTTTACGTATATAATAATGTTAAATATGAAACAGAAAACATTGCACAAATTTATCAAACTTAAAATATTTAATAATGGATCCTAAATATGTGTTTAACTCTCTTCTAATTAAATGTTTAAATTTCTATTTTTCTATATTATATATAAATTACAAAGTTTTTTATTAAAAATAATGTAATAACTTTTTTAATGAATTTGTTTTATATGTTATTGAAAATGTTATTAAAAAATAATCCTTAATAATTAATAATTAGATATAATTATTTAATGGTTTAATACGTATATTTTAGAAAAGGGTGAAGGCGAGGTGGCTCTATTGAAGGGAGAGACAGTTTTAGTCGTAGGTGCGTCGCCGAGACGAGGCCATCTTCTTGTAGAACACAATAACGCTACGTTACATGTGCCGTATCAATTTATGGAACTAAAACCTTGCAATATTAATGTTTAATGATGTTTATGGACCTATTTATTCAGTCTCACTTTGATAAGAAGAAACTGCATTATTGCTTTCTTCAATTCAATTCTAAAAAAATTACGTTTGTCTAAATCCCTCCATAGAAAACTTGTACAAAGATTACCACAAACGTGAAACAAGAAATAGAAATCTAAATTATAGTATTATATTATTTTTATATTTTTAATATATAGGTATAAAGAATTTTTTTATATTATATTTTTATTTTATATT